ATGGCGCCGCTTCGGCCTTGCGACGGCGCGGGCTCCTGCGCCTTGGACGGCGGCGGCGGCGGTCGCGCGCGCGATGGCCATGGGGGGCGTGCCGACCGAAGCGCTGATGGCGTTGATGATGTTCTCGGCATGCCTTTGCCCTTGCGAGGCGTGCAACCTCCGTGCCGAAGAGGGGGCGCCGTTGCGCCCTCCACTGTCCTGCGCGCCGGCGCTGAACCTGCGCCCGGAGGAGCGCAAAAGCGCGTCCATCTTGTTGGACCACCCGCGCCACGGCTTCCTCGGGCTGGAGATCGCCAGGCTGGCGCTTGCCAGAAAGACAGGCCGCCGCGGCAAGTCCAGCATCCAGCACTTCAATGCGGGGTTCAAGCAAGCGCAGCACGAGCTCAACCTGTCCGCGATGCATGTGCCCTACCAGATACGACACGGAGGACCTTCGGCAGCCCGCCCCCTCGCCGAGGTGAAGCAACGAGGCAGGTGGGCCAGCGACTCGTCTCTTCGTCGGTGCGAGACAGCCGCGCGCCCACTACGCGAGGAGGCTCGACTGTCCAGTCCCCATCAGAGGCTTCTGGCTGTCCGCCATCGCCTCGTTGCCGACCAACCGTGGAGCGTCGCTGAGCCAATGCCTGGAGCCCCATCGAAGAAGAAATTAGTTGTAGAGATCTTCTCGGGCTCTAAGCACCTCCTCGGTTGCTGCGGCCCAGCGTGGTTGCATCGATTTCGCCGCTGGCGTACGCGACTCGCCCAATCAGAACGTCCTGCGGACCAACGTACTCGAAGCCATCAAAGCACTCATCGCTCGCCCTGATTGCAAGCTCGTCTGGATAGGGGGCCCCTTGTGCGTCTTGGTCGAGGGCAAGATGGGGGGCGGGCGGTCTGGCCCCCCCGCCCCCCCCCCCCCCCCCTCCAGGGATTCCATCGACGGCCCTTGCGGACTTAATGGGCCCTGCATCTCGGATGCTCAGAAGGTCAAGGTCGGGAATCAACTGGCGGGGATATCCGCAAGACTAGCTCGTTGGGCTGCCGCCTTCCGTTGTCAGTGCATCTTGGAGAATCCAGCAAGCTCGAGAATGTGGCTGACTTCTGAGTTGAAGCGACTGGAGGTCATATGCTTTGTACAATGACAGTGTAGTTCTTGTGGGTACGGTACCCCTTGGCAGAAACACACATGTCTTTTTGCCTGCGCGGCCCCCGGGCTAGTCGAGCTCCGCAAGTACCGCGTGCAAGCTGGACGTTGCGTTAGGTAGAGTGCACGAACAGCTTGTGGGCAATAATCCGCAGGGCGAATTTCCAACGAGGACCGCTCAGCCGTATCCATCGCCGTTCTGCTCGCATGTTTGTCAGATGTTGGATCTCAGCAGATAGCTTCATTACCGCGCCTAGCATATTATATCAGCCGTGCTTCGCACGTCCAGCGCCAATGTCCGTGGGTTTGGGGTATTTGACCTTGGCACTGTGCTCGTAGCTGCACGCTCGTGGCCTCGCGAATCGCTCCCGTGCCATTGATGACGGATGTCAGATTGTGGGGTTCGCGGCCTGACCTGGGGTGGCATTCGTAAAACAGACGGGCCCACACATATATCTACATCAATACATAAGTGTGTATAGTTTCTATATGAATGTATGTATACATATATGTATACATGTATATATGCACACATATATGAGTATATGAATATGAATATGTATGTATATATATATATTCATATACTCATATGTATTCACATATATATACACACTCGTGCTCCTTCTTCCTCTTCTTCCCTGAGGTGCCCTATTCCTCTTGCTCTTTTTTGTTCTTGCGTTAATTTCCCTGCGGGCCCTTCCCCGTCCTCCTCAGATATGTGTGCGGAAGCTCCTCTGGGGCGAGCTTCTGGGGGATCTCGCGACAGCTTTCTAAAAGGTTCCTTGGGCGCCTGTGGCGACGCCCTTGGCGCCTTTTGACGGCCTCTGGGGGGATCCTCGGGCCACCATGCCGCGAACCGTGGTCTCGCGTCACGGTTTGCATGCTTTTGGAGGGCGTCTTGGTGCAATTTTGGGCCGTCATGGAGTCTTCAGTGGGCAGTTTCTGAGCCCTCTTGGGCCGTTTTGGAGTTCGGATGAAGTGTAAAGAAACATTTGTTTCGGTTGTTTTGGAACGGTTTTTGGTGCCTCTCGGGCGTTTTCGGACAACCGGAATACTGAATAATCGAATCGCGCAAAAATCATGCAACAAACAATGGGCAATGAATTTTGTCTCGCGTTTCGAAATCTCTCGGGGGTGATCTTTGGGCCGTCTTCGGGCGTTTGGCAGGGGTCCAGGGCCGGTGGAGGCCATCTTGGACCGTGTTGGGGGTCTCTTGGGACCGCCGCCGACCCGTTTGCACGGCTTGACAAGGATACCCAGAGGCCCGGCAATCTCGCCGAACCCGCAAAAGGGGGCGCTCATGAACCCAAGACGCAGGGGATTTTGTTTCGGGGGTGAAGAGGGATATTCAAACCTAGCCATACATACTTTGGAAACGATTTCGCGATAATGTTTTGACTATTTGGGAATATGTTTGATCGTACTTCATTTGTCGTCCAAAATCACCTTTTAGTAGGACATGCCCGACCTCGCGCTATCCATGACCAGGCCTCAATTGGTGCTCCATCACATTCCAGACCCTGGGTTCCTCATCTCGGCCACGCGTCAGCATGACCTCTCGCAGGAGCGACTTCCAGTGCGGGCCTACGGGGGCCCCCCCGAGCATTGGTTCGCACGCTCAGATTCGGCGCCCCCGCGGTCCTCGAGAGCCGCGCCACCAGCGGCCCCTCCGTGCCCACGGTGCCACCTCGCGTGCGGCCGGTTCTGCCCACCGCCCTCGCCGCATCCGCCGCCCCCCGCGCCCGGCCCCCTGCTCTGCAGGCCGAGGTCGGGGGGCGCGCGAGGGCCCTCGCGCGCACCTCGCCGCCTCGCGGCCCCGGCAGCCCGCGGAGGGCCCTCCCTCTCCGGAGGGCGCGACGGGGCGCGAGGGCGCGACGAAGGCCGCGGGGGCCCCAGGCTCCGCCGCCAGAGTGCGGCCAGGAGCTGTCACTTGTGGCGTGTCGCTCCGCGGGTTCTGGCCCGCCACGCCTCGGCGCGACAAGCCATCCGCGTCCCGATCCTTTCGAAGCCTCCCGCCCCGCGGAGCGGAGCGACGCGCCGTCCGCTCGCGGGGCATGGCGCTTCGCCGGGGCCGCCGTCGCGACACGCCATGCAGAGGATCTTGACCGTAGCTCCGTACTCGTCGCCTCGGGGTCGTGCCCGTGGATCTCGCTGGCACGGTGGATATATGGACATTTGCCCGCGCGCACAGGCGGGCAGACATCCGTATCCACCGCTTTCCGAGCTCAGGCCGAAGCAGTCCTGGACAAATGAGTTGTATGAACGTGCTAAGAGAGTGTGTGAGAGCAGTTCGCATGACGTTGGACGGCTCGCGGCTATCCCAGCAGAAGCCTGGAAAGCCGCTGAGCGGCACTGCTGCCCATAGTGTTGCACCACTGCCCATGTGCTTCGAATCGCGGCGTGCATTCATTTAAACATTCACTCATTCACGCATGCATTCACTCATTCCGAGCTCCTGGGACACGACCCCGAGGCGGTGGATATGGCCATACTCTGGCGTCGCATAGGTGGCCTGCGGCAGGCTCGGGTCGCGTCGACGCAGCGGCGACCCCTGTGCGGGCGGTCCTGGTTGAACGCCTCCAGTCGCTGGGAAGCGGCCGACGTCGAACGGTCTGCGTCATCGGAAGGCCGCGATCGTTCGAGGCTGAACGCTCCGCGCGATGTCAGAAACCACCGCCCAGGTCGCCACGACACGAATCTGCCGCAGATGATCCAGATTCTTCCCCCACCCGTCCTGGCAATCAGATGGGGGTCTTGTGGGAATCCGACGGGCTTCCGCTGAAACGGTCAGGTCGTGCTTTACCGCAGCCAATCCCAGTTAATATGCGCGGAGAAGATGACGCTACAACAAGATGCTGGCGCTCGCGCCCAGGCTAGACCTAATATCCCAGCTCTCGTGGAATTACCGTCGGGCTAGAGCTCTCTGCCGTGGTACCCCCGTCTGCCGTGCCCCAGCTCGGGATGTCGCCAAATGTGTCCCTGGCTCAAGGTGCGCGCAAGACTCGCCGCGAGGCCCAGATGGCCTCCAGAGTACCCCTGACGAGGCCGAAGGGGGGCACCAAGGCTCCCAGGAGGGCCCTTTTCGCACCATTCTGGAGCCCCAGGGGCTCCGCAGTACCGCGAAGAGCTGGGTACTCAGACCTCCGACGCTTGTGTTTTCTTGACGACGTGGACCCCGTCCCTGTACACCTAGGGTCAAGGACCCCCTTTTATTCTAGGCGTTCCAGATGGGGTCCGAGTAGACGTGGGCGGAGGATCGCGCCACATCGCCGATGCATCGCGGATGCGGCTCGATGTAGAGCCCGATTTTCCTCCACGCCGACGGCGCCGATGCATCGCCGACGTCGTCGATGCATCGGCGATGCGGCGCGATTCTCGGACCCCATCTACTCGGACTCCATCCAGGAGGCCTCCATCGGTACAACTTGGAGGTCACGACCCCGGCACTGCAGGAGCGAGAGAAGAACGTATACGTACGTGAATCCACGCTGGTTTCGAAAGCGCGCACTGCGCGAGCGCTCGTATCACGAGGCTGGTCTCGCGGACTCGGGGGCCGTATTCCCGTGCGCGGCTGGGCGCGCACGTCCTTCCCAGACCCCCGACGCCATGATCGTTTCACAGCGTCGACCCCAGGAGGTCTGGACGACTTCCCCGTGACCAGTTTTTCGTTCTGAGTCGTTTTTTAACGGTCCCGAGGCCCGGCAGGGGCCCCCAGAGGCGGAAAATGACGAAAACCTCCCGTCATGATTTTTCCGCAGCGCGCGGGGGTCTGGGCTTGTGCGCTCCCCATCACTTGCAGCCCCGACGGCAGCGCCGCCGCCGCCGCAGCACCGCCGCGTGCAGCTGCAGCAGGCTCCCTCGCCGCCCCCCTGACCAGGCACGGCGCCAGCGCCCGCACACATGCCAGCGGCCGCGAGGAGTGCAGGCGGGAGGAGGGCCAGCAGGGGCATCGGCAGTCGGGAGGAACCAAAAGCAGACACAAGTAGTCGTCGATCCCTTGGGAAATGTGGGAACACGTGGGAAGTGACGGGGAAGACGCAGACCCCGAAAATATGTGACAACATGGGGTAATTTTGGGATTGTTGTGGCAATTTGTTTGTGTGTCCCTGGGCCCCATGCAGATAGGGGGGGCATTGGCTCAGGGGCGGATAATTAGGGGGGCGAAGTTTCGAGGTTCGAGGTCTTCGGGCACTTTCGTAGGTTCTCGGCGGCTTTCCAGCCTCTGTGAGGTTCGAGGTTTTCGGGCGTATTCGGAGGTTCTCATCAGCCTCGGGGTGCTCTCCAGCAGCTGCGCCTCGCCGAGAGCGTTCCGGGGGTGCCGGAATCTTTTCAAACCGCCGCCTGAGAGCAGAGTTATAACCCGAAAACCGGGGCAAAACGTAAGGGGGGGATATGTCAGGGGGGATAGGCTCCGGGGGGGGATGCACCGAGCACCAATGGCCCATTCATCGCCGACAGGGGCCCGATAGCCCCAACCCGCCCAGGAGCTTGCGGATGTGCTATCAGGGGCCTCTCGCCGATCTGTCGGCGATGTATCGCCGATTCCATGTCGGTGCCCCCCCCCCCCTTGGGCCAGTCGCCCCCCTGTCCTTGCCCATCATCGGTGGTGAATGGGGGCAGGCGCTCGCTCGAAGCGAGGAGGAGCGAAGAGCGAGCAGCAGCAGCAGCAGCAGCAGCAGCAGCAGGAGCGAGGACCAGCGAGGACCAGCGAGGAGGAGCGAGGACGAGCGAGGCGTCGGAGCGGGAGTCGAGGAGGAGGGGAAGGAGGAGGAGGAGGCGGAGGAGGAGGAGGAGGGGATGTGAAAACGGCATGAGCATCAGCGGTCCGAGCCCCGCGCGGATGTTCTCGGATCTGCCCCGGCCCCCGCCCTCCTTGGCGGCGCCTTTCCGGCAGCCGCCAGCGCGCTCCGCGCGCCAGGGAGGGGGTCCCAGCGCCGCTCCCAGAAATCCGCGTGGACCTCCGAACGTTTATGTTTATGTGTATGTTGAACATTATTTATTCTAAAGAATAATTATTGTTGGGCCCCCTGGTGCGCGCCCCCCCTGCGCCGCCTAGGCCGCAGCTACATTTTCATCATTTTCGTGAGGAAGCCTCAGAAAAGAGGGTGTGTACAGGATCCGGTTGTTTTGTTGTAATCCGCTTTCCCTTGCAAAAAACAATAGAAAATGACATTTCTTGTTCTAATATAATCAAATTTCAAGAATCCCTTGCAAAAAATAAGGTAAAGTGGACATTCGCGCGCGCAAGACGAAATCCTTCCAAAACCTTAGTGTTCGCAGCGATTTTAACATAAAAACATCAAAAAACCAATGGTTTTTCAACAAAAAATTGTCAAAATCTCATCCCGCGCGCTCTTGCGGATTCGTAGGAAACCCAACACTTTTTAAACATTTCTGTCAAACGGGCTTTTGCGAGCAACTTTTTCGAACTTCTGCGACAACGGTTGCGCACCTGCCAGGGCCATCATCCCTGTCAAATAATACCATGCGGGACACATTCGTTTTTTCTTCGCGCGCGCACGCCGAAATCTCCAAAAACCATTGGGCTTCTTAAGAATTTTAGCACCGCGCATCATAAAATCACACGAATCGCACCGTAGGTCCTCGAAAAACACCTGCACGACTTTTCAAAATTTCTACCCGCGCGCGCTGTCCGAATCCTAAAAAAACCAATGGTTTTCCAACATTTATGTTACATGAGCTCGCGCGAGCTACTTTCGCACGCTCTTGCAACGGGGTTCGCGCGCCTGCCAGGGGCCACAATCCCTTGCGGTTGCGCCATAGGTTGCGCCCTCGGCCGCCGAGAATAAAACGTCCCCCTATTGGTTGCGCCATAGGTTGCGCCCTCGGCCGCCGAGAATAAAACGTCCCCCTATGCATCATATGCAACAGATGTTCTGTGGAAGGCTTAACAACTTCTGTGGGTTAACAAGGCTTAACAACTTCTGTGGGTGTACGAACGTAGGCTTAACAACTTCTGTGGGTGTGTACTCCACGCCAGTGTAGTAGCCACGGTCGTCCGCAGGCCACGAAGTGAAGTGTCCGAACGTCATAGGGCGGGAAGCTGGGTGTGGGTGGTGGCGAAGAGTCGTGTGGATATTTGGTAGAGCTTGCACTGCCCCCCCACAAAGTGGGGGTATTGGCTGGCGTCGCATGAAAACCCTGGCACTGGTGAGAACACTGAGCGTTCGGGTTGTTGTTGAACATTATTAATTCTAAAGAATAATTATTGTTGGGCCCCCTGGTGCACGCCCCCCCCGCCGCGCCTAGGCCGCAGCCACATTTTCATCATTTTCGTGAGGAAGCCTCAGGTAATTCGATGTGATCCAGATCCGGTTGTTTTGTTAATCCGCTTTCCCTTGCAAAAAACACTATAAAATGACATTTCTTGTTCTAATATAATCAAATTTCAAGAATCCCTTGCAAAAAATAAGGTAAAGTGGACATTCGCGCGCGCAAGACGAAATCCTTCCAAAAGCTTAGTGTTCGGAGCGATTTTAACATAAAAACATCAAAAAACCAATGGTTTTTCAACAAAAAAATGTCAAAATCTCATCCCGCGCGCTCTTGCGGATTCGTAGGAAACCCAACACTTTTTAAACATTTCTGTCAAACGGGCTTTTGCGAGCAACTTTTTCGAACTTCTGCGACAACGGTTGCGCACCTGCCAGGGCCATCATCCCTGTCAAATAATACCATGCGGGACACATTCGTTTTTTCTTCGCGCGCGCACGCCGAAATCTCCAAAAACCATTGGGTTCTGTGGGTGTGTACCCCACGCCAGTGTAGTAGCCACGGTCGTCCGCACGCCACGAAGTGAAGTGTCCCAACGTCATAGGGCGGGAAGCTGGGTTTGGGTGGTCGCGAAGAGTCGTTTGGATATTTGGTAGAGCTTGTAATGCCCCCCCACGAAGTGGGGGTATTGCCTGGTGTCGTATGAAAACCCTGGCACTGGGGAGAACACCACGCGTTCGGGTAAAATGATTGCTGTTGTTGTTGTTGCTGTGGTGGTGGGTGTTGTTAGTGGTGTTGTTGATGCGGTTGCTGTTGTTGTAGTTGTCGCTGTTGTGGTCGTTGATGGTTTAATTGTCGTAATTGCTGTTGCTGTTGCTGTTGTTGTGGTTGTTGTTGTGGTTGCTGGTATTGTTGCTGCTGTTAGTGGTGATGCTGCTGTTGTTGATGGTGTTGCTGTGTTTGCTGTTGTTGTCGTCGTCGTTGTTGGTGTTGTTGTTGTCGTTGTTGTTGGTGTTGGTGTTGGAGTTGGTGTTGGTGTTGGTGGTGGTGTTGTCGTCGTCGTCGTCGTCGTTGTCGTCGTTGTTGTTGTTGTTGTTGTTGGTGTTGTTGTTGTTGTTGGTGTTGTTGTTGTTGTTGTCGTTGTCGTTGTCGTTGTCGTTGTCGTTGTCGCTGTTGTTGTTGTTGTTGTTGTTGGTGTTGTTGTTGTTGTTGTTGGTGGTGGTGGTGTTGTTGGTGTTGTTGTTGTTGTTGGTGGTGGTGGTGTTGTGTGGTGGTGTTGTTGGTGTTGTTGTTGTTGGTGGTGGTGGTGGTGTCGGTTCCCCTGAGGCTCTCGCGGGGCCGCTGCAAAGCAAAAAACTAACAGTTGGTGCCAAAATGGCAGAAACATAGACTTTCGGCGGTCCGCGCGGATTGAATGGATCTGCGCTGGGACCATCCTGACGGCGCCTCGGGCACCGCCCCTGGCGCGCTCCGCGCTTCAGGGAGAGGGTCCAGCTCAGAACCAAGGAATCCGCGCGGACCGTCGACAGTTTATGCTTATGCCGTTGTTTGTTCCTCTGATGCTGTTGTGGGTTCCCCTGAGGCTCTCGCGGGGCCGCTGCGAATGAACAAAAATAACATGTGTTGGCGCTCTCGCTCGCCACGTCGGCCTCGGCGGGCACGAAGACCAACACCAGCCCCTGTCCATTTTGAGTTGGCCTCGCTGTCGGTGTCGCCGAGGGCGCTGACCGCTTGGGACAAAAGGCCAGCGGCGTTTGCCCAACAGCAGCCGCTGTTGGCGTGGAGGAACAGTTGTTGTCGGGCACCGTCCTCATTTCCATGGCGCCAACATCGCAGAGCGGATTTCGTTCGGAAAACAATGGGATGGGCCCAGATTGTCCCGGATGCTTTCGTTCCGGATTTCGAAGTGAATTTCGTGCGTTTTTTTTTTTTTTTTGGGGGGGGGCAGGAATGAAGGTTGCAAAACATCCACGTGAAAGTCACATTGTGTTTCGCTCGCCGTTTTGGGGGTGTTGCATTGACAGAAATCCACGCAAAAATCCGCTTCAGCACGTCTGCAAGGTCGGTGCAGTTTCCTTCCCTACCATGAGAAACGGTCGTGTCAGCAGCCGCCCCACGTTGATTTTATATTCCCTGACGCCCCTGGGGATTCACTAGAGATCTGGAATACCTCGTGAGGTCCGAGACAGACTTGCACAGCATGTGCCCCGAGCCAGTAGGCGGCTGATAGCAAGGCTCCTTTTCCTGTGTAAGTGTCGTGCTCGCGGGAGGCTCGCCAGACAGACCTGGTCCGTGAGCTGGTGGAGTGGGCGGGTTTTGCTTGGGCACCATGCCAACGTTCTGCGCTGGCACGGGGCGCATTGGAGAGGCAGGGGGGGGGCGGGAATAGAGAGAGAGATGGCGGTGAAGGGAACGGGAAGAGAGTTGGCGGGCAGGGCGAGGTGAGACATGTTGGGATGGACGGAAGCAGGCAGGGCAGGGAGTGTAGGTATAGACGGAAGGACGACGATACGGGAGGGTTGATACAGAAGGTCCACAGGGACGAGGAGATGGGGCAAGGAATGAAGGAGAGGAGGACGAGGAGGAGGACCAGAGCAAACCCAAGACCCATCAACGATCTTGGAATACACCCTCCCTCCAAGCTCCCTCTTCACAGGCCCCTGCAAGGATTCATTCCACTGATGGCAGTGCCCTGTTGGGAGACAACCGTTTGAAGATCCTGAATCGTGCCAAGACATCTTTCTGGGGACTCCAACGCCACGAATCTATTTGACTGTTGCGTCTTTCCATAGCCATGCTGGCTCGTGCCTTTTGGATCAAGCCAGCTTGGCCGAAGCCACCCGCCGGTGTGCATCCTCGGTCCCGTCGATACCACCTTGGCCGTCTCCTTTGGATGCCTCGCGAGCAACCGATCAGCAGTCATGCGCCGCGCGGTTGTTTTGCGTTTACCGAGGCTGGATATCGCGGAAGCGCATCGGCTTGCAACGCTACGTGGTGGGCGGTGTTTGTCCGAAGACTATGTGAATGCAAAAACTCCGCTGGTTTGGGAGTGTGGAAAGGGACACAGTTGGACAGCAATGTTGGGAAGCATCAAGTACAATGGCACCTGGTGCCCAAGGTGCGCATGTGACAAAAAACGGTTGGGCTTAGCATTTGCCCAGCGCGTTGCTCAGAAAAATGACGGACGCTGTTTGTCCGAAAGCTATCAGAATTCCAGGCAAAAGCTCTCATGGCAATGTTCGCAAGGTCATGTCTGGCATGCAACGCTCCACAGTGTCCATGCTGTAAGGAGCTGGTGCCCAGAGTGCGCGCGGCTTCGGCAATCTCTGAGCATAGAATTCGCACGAGAAGTCGCCGAATCGCGACGCGGACGGTGCCTGTCACTGGAGTACTTCAACAACAAAGCGAAGTTGACGTGGGAGTGCGAGACAGGGCATCAATGGACAGCTACATTGAGCAAAGTGTGCAATCTGGGCACGTGGTGTCCAACGTGTCTGGCTCGACGGGGTGAACGGCATATCCGATCCATTTTCGAGACGATATTCATCGGCTTCAGATTTGCAACGGCGCGCCCAAGAGTTCTCAGAGTGGCTCAGCGTTCATTCTTGCAGCTTGATGGTTTCAACGAAGATTTGAACATTGCTTTCGAGTTCCATGGCCTTCAGCACTACAGGTTCGTGCCTTTCTTCCACCGTACGCCTGAGGGCTATTCAGCTTTGTTGCAGCGGGATCAAAAGAAGCTTGCCCTGTGCAGCGCTGCAGGAATCAGGTTGATCGTGGTCCCCTGCTTTGTGAATGACCGTTGGGCATTTGTGCGTTCTTGGTTGCTGCAGTGGTTTTCAGTGTCGCGGCTGCATCCAACTGCAATCCTGGCATGAATGCGAACAAACGTTCGTACGAGTGTTCAGGGCAGTCGCGTTGCGTCTTGCAGAAGTTGAAAATACTGTCTGTTGCGTCTTGACGACCATGAATCGTGCCAGTGCACCGTTCCTTGTACTTCGCCGCCTATCAACGTAACACTTGCGCCCTGACAGTCCTGAGTCGTTCCAAAACACAATTTTTGGTACGTTCACCATGGGGACACGTGACACTCCTGCAACTGCTTTAAGACCGATGTGCGCGGCGCGTGAGAACCACATGTTGAAAAGGAGCCGCCCTCGAGCCGTGAAGCGCTTGCAAATGTATAAGGCGAGCGTGCGCGGCGCCACTGCGAGAGCTAAATTTTGAGTAGGAACCGCCCTCAAGCCGTGAAGCTTTTGCAGCCCTTTAAGACGAGGGTGCACGGTGCTTAGGCGAGAGCCGCACGTTGACAAGGAACAGTTCTAATTTCGTGAGCCTCTCAATTTTGAAAACGAATGCGCGCGGCGCTAAGACGAGAGCCACATTTTGGAAGTGACCCGCCCTCTGCCTGTGAAATTGTCGCCACCTTGTAAGCTTCAAGATCATACATAGTCAGGGGGTCTGAGGCGAAACGCCTGGGCTGCCCTTCCGATTGGCCTCGGGGAGTGACATGGAAGAGTTAGTGACAAGGAACAGGAATGGAGGAATGATTGGGGCCGGCAGGAGTGGAAGGAAGAGGGCAGAGGAGGGAAAGATCAGGATATTGATCAGGATGCTCGAGCATGGGGTAAGAACACGGGTAATAAAAAAAGAGAAACATATGTTGACGATGACGAGGGAGAGTATGACGAGGATGAGAGCAGAGGAGGAGGAGGAGGAGGAGGAGGAGGAAGAGGAGGAGACGAGGAGACGAGAAGAAGGTGAGCGAGGAGAAGGATGGAGCTCGAGCTTGCTGTCGGGATCGGTTCTGTACATCTTCTCACCCTCACACTCGCGGATTGCACGTTTGGGCTTCCGCAGCCTGAACTCCGATGGCGAGTCTGTTGCCATGTTGTCCTGTGCAGGGCGACAGCTGTATACCTACGTACGCCGATCCCAGCCCAGGGTCGGTCTGGCCAGCGTCAGTGTAGGAGGAGAAGGAGGAGGAGTTTGTTGACGAGCGCGCTGACAGCCACCAGCCTTACGCCCTGATGGGAATTGCCTCCACCCGAATAGCTTCCTTCGGGTGCCAGCCTCGCTTCACTCAGAACCACTACTCCTGGGCTCTGCCGTGGGGACGTGTGCACTCACCTCGGATCCTTCGAAATTGTCCAAGAGTGGAGGAAGCTCAACATCTAACCGTTGGCCATCTCCAACGCGAGGCACGAGTGGCCGCGTGCAGCAACAGACTAGGCAACCGGGGGTAGGTTTTCCGCGCAACCCTGAGGAGAAGGTCGCGCGGCCGCCTACGAAATCTGAGGCACTTATCGCACCGCCAGAGAGTCCTACACCACCTCCACACGTGCTGCCCTGATGGGGGTGGAGGATGGGTCCCTGGGCGCCTTCGGGTTCCTCAAAGGGGACTCCATCAATGTCCAGCCGTGGCCAAGACGGAAGAAAACGAACAGCCAGGCGAGACACGTTGCGCGAAACTTTGAGTTGTCAGACGAGGTGCTCCTCCTTGTTGGCGGAAAACCTCGGATGCATGGCCGCTCCGAGCTTGGCCGATCGACCAGCCTCATCGCTACCTTCTTTCAGGAAGCGGTCCTGGGCCGAGAGTTTCTCAGACTCGGCCACATGGGCCTTAACCTTAATCACATCGGAACACTTGTCCCAATGGAGTTGATCATGCGGCCAGGGCAAGGCCTTTTGTAATACAGCATCTTCGCACGGTCGAGCTTCAATGCCTGACAGGCATTGGGACAATCGCTGGCCCCAACGGGGGATTCGGTGAGGCACACATATGCATAGGACAAGGCCCCGAACTCAGCTGCTTGAGAGGTCTGGGGGGAACCTGTCCCAAAGAGGGGCCCACATACGGAGGGCCAATTGGTTACTGGAATCGTAAACTACTAGGCCCCACCCTGCTCTGCGCAATTCTCTCACTACATGCTTCTGGCACGACCCGTCCATGAACACCTTGCCCCCAAAAAGTTGTTCGTCTCCTGGAGGGGGTTCGCCTTCACATTTCACCTCAGGGGCAGAGTTTTGATCAGGCCGAGGAACCACATCAACTGGATGAGGGAAGAGCCCCAGTCGGCAATTGAGCAGGAGGCGGGGTCACTCTCTAGGGCTGCCTTGAACCGCCCGCGTCACATCACTCCTCCCTGAGGTCCGCAACTCCTGGACATACCCACAGCCTGTGAAAGATGAGGAGGAGGAGGAGGAGGAGGAGGAGCCCCACGCAGCTGGCACCTGATAACACCGGTGTAGTGGCCACACTGGGCCGCTCGCCCCTCGGCCCAGCACGCCCCGCACACATTGGCCCGCATCGAGCCCTTCTCGAAAGCCGTGTGTTTGGAAGTATGGAGGTCGCGGACCACAGAGTCGTAGCAAAGCTTGGCGTCGACTCCAGGCTTCTGCCCAGAGATGCGGAACAAATATCTGATGACGGCCTCGCGCAGCATCGTCTTCACGAGTTGGGGGGGGAGAAGGTGGTGAGGCAGATGGTGATTCCCTGATTCGTCGTGAGCTGCGCGCAGGTCGTACTTGTCCAGCCTATCCTAACACGAGAAGACTACATGGCCCCAATAGGCCCTCCGGCGTGGTGCCAAGTTGACGGCGGCTTGGCCCAAGTCTGCTGCCAAGCATCACGAAAAGTAGCGAAGCCGAGAGCAGACGGAGTACACTGCACCTGGGCATCCCACAGCTCCCTGGCAGACCTAGTAATCGGGTAAATAGCTGCATGATGCACTGGGCCCCCTTCGATAATACATAACAAGGTAAGCGACCTGGACCCCGCCAGAGGTTTGTCTGAGCTTCGCCTGAACATTCCGCGGCCTGGGACCTTCCGTTTCTGAGGCTCGCTTGCCAGAGTTGGCGCGTTTTTTCTCCTTTGGCCCCGAGTTCGACGCTTCGACCCCAGCAGCGAACAATTCCATCGCGCCCTGGCATCATCGAGCAGGGGCAGGTTCGAGACCGTCGGCAGCGAATCAGTGGCACCGGGAGGCTTGTTCTGCAGGAGGCAGAGCAAGGCTTCGACATCGGGGGTCCCAGACCCTTGAATAGCTGCGAGACGAGTGTGCCCCCCGTGTGGTGGCTGGGGTGGGGGGGCTCGTCGAGAGTCAGCTGCGAGCCGAGGGTTTGTACCACCGCCCCGAGGAGAGACGACTCTGCCGCCCCACCGCTGCAAAGCGGCGCCATCGCACGCGGCAGCCAGGGGGGCATTTCAAGTAAGTAAGTAAGTAAGTAAGTCGTAAGTATAGTACGTATAACACGGGGGAGCTGTGAGAGTACGATTTAATTCCGAGGGTCGGGTACTTGCTTCCAGTGCAGCTGCAGACAAGGGACTTCGCCCACCGTTACAATTTTATTTGTTTGGCAGTGAAGGATTCAGGGTCCGTCAAGCGTTTCTGAACGAGGCTCGATTCGGGAATTTGGATTAGTCCAAAAGTTTCGCGTGTCTTTGCGGCGATTTCAGGGGTGTCAGATGCAATGTAGTCCAACCCTGGCTGACACATTAGGGTCCTGCATGGTAGTATGATGTTGTAGCGAGCTGCAGGGTCATCTGGTAGAGGAATGCCCCGCCAGATTTTGATTCCCGTTGCTCTGTGTCAGCACTGGTGATCTGTCGGTGATGCTTTGGCTCAAGTCAAAAGGATGTTTCAATCCGTTCGGCTGACGCCCACTCCGCGCATGGTAGCCTGGAGCCGTGGTTGACACGATCGACGAACTGTGGTCGACACGATAGAGAGCGTGGCAGTGAACACGATAGAGGTCGTGGTCGACACGATAGAGAGTGGAGTGAACACGATAGAGGTCGTGGACACGATAGAGAGCGGTGTGAACACGATAGAGATCGTGGGCACGATAGAGAGTGATGGAGGCGCTGACGCAGAGGCTGGCCCAGCTCGAAGAGCAACAGCGGCAGCAGCGTACGGTGATCGAGACTCAGCAGAGGCAGCTCACGGCGGCGCAGAATGAGCTGGCGGCGGTGCGGGCAGCAGGCGACGGCGCGGCAGCCCAGCAGCCAGCAGGAGAAGCACGAGCAGGCGCGCCGATCTCTTTGGTGGACCTGCGAGTTGGCAACAAGCCCGAGATCTTCACAGGCGAGGCCAAGGAGTGGAAGAACTGGTCGTTCAAGATGCGTCAGTACCTGTCGGCGATAGACGAGACGCTGCACGCGGAGGTGCTCGACGTGGACGCGAACCCGACGAGAGAGCTCACGATGAACGACATGGCCGCCGAAGCCCAGAGGAGAGCCAGGCAGCTGGCGTTCATCCTCACCATGCACACGAAGGACGTAGCGTTGCAGATGGTCACGAAGCTACCAGATCCCAGCAACGGCTACGAGATCTGGCGGAGGTTCTTGGAGGAGTTCGAGCCGGCCCACAAGGGCCGCTTCAGGGCGATGCTGATGCAGATCCTCCAGTACCAGTTCACAGGTGACCGTGGACTAGCCATCGAGGAGTTCGAGAGGCTCGTCAGGCAGTACGAGGCGCAGTCTGGCGACATCCTCCAGGAGACCATCAAGGCGGCGGTGATCTCAAACAACCCTGAGGACCCTGAATGGAGGAGACACGTCGGCCTCAACGCGACGAGATTGCAGGACTACGCGTCGCTGAAGGACGAGTGGAAGGCGGTTCACCAAGCGGAGAGGCGTTGGGGTGTCGATGGCGACTCGGCTCCCATGGAGGTGGACGCGCTTACCTCGAAGGGCAAGGGCAAGGATGGCGGTAAAGGCAAGGGTAAGGATGGCGGCAGAGGCAAAGGCAAAGGAGATGGCAAGGGTAAGGACGGCGGCAGAGGCAAAGGTAAGGGAGATGGCAAAGACAAGAACAAAGGCGAGGCCAGCAAGAAGGAGAGGAAGTGTTTCTTCTGCAGAGAGAAGGGCCACGAGCGCAAGGATTGCCCGAAGTTCACCGCGTGGCTCGAGGAGAAGAAGAAGGCGGGACACGCTGGAGGCTCGGGGACGGCCGCGGCGCTCAACACGGTGCAGCAGGACGACGGCTGGGTGTTCATGGTTGACGAGGAGTTCGAGGGCGACGAGCTGTGCGAACTCATCATGGTCGACTCAGGCGCCTCGGCAAACGTATGTCCTCGAGACCACGTGCCCGAGAACGGCCTGCGAGAGGAAGCACGTCCGAGGCGCATGACAACGGCGACTGGCGAGCTGATTGCGCAGCATGGGCGACGTCGGGTTTCATATGAGACGGAGTTCGGTAAGATCACGACGGACTACAGGGTGCTAGACGTGAAGAGGCCGATCTGGTCGCTGGGCGCGATGATCGAGTCGGGGTGCGACGCCTACTTCACGAAGGGCAAGTCGTGGATCGTCAAAGATGGCAAGGAGTTGGAGCTGATCAGGAAGGGCAACTTGTTCTACGCGATCGCTCGGCCTTCGAAGATCGGAGGCTCGAACGCGCTGGAGCTCAACCCTTTGACGCAGGCGGAGATCGAGCAGAGAGCGCTGGCCAGAGAGCACGCGGCGTTCGGGGCGGCTGGACCAGCAGCCGAGGCCACGCTTGCAGAAGATGGGGATCCAGCAGTTCGCATCAAAGTGCCGACAGGACCTGCCACGCCGACGGCAGAGGAACGGGCTCAACACGAGTCCGCGGGGCACGTACCCTACAGGAGCTGGTGCAGTCACTGCGTGGCGGCGAGGGCGGCGGACAAACCTCATCGACGAAGCGAGGACCCGACGGGCCTGAGCGCAGAGGAGGCAGCGATCCCACGCATCGAGTTTGACTTCGCGGAGATCGGACGAGAATCAGATGCAAGCCCTGGCATTCCGTCCCTCAACGGAGTAGACGTCGGGTCGGAGAGCTTGTCGGCGACTCTGTGCCCCAGCAAGGCCTTCAGCGAGTACCTGGTGGAGACGATCCTGGCGTTCGTGGACGCGCTGGGCCACAACGCGGTGCTGCTTCACTCGGACCAGGAGCCAGTGCTAGTGCAGTTGCTGAAGGCGGTGCAGAGCAAGAGGGTGAAGCGGACTCTGGTCAGGCATGGGCCGAGAGGCAGCCACCAGAGCCAGGGCAAGATAGAGGGCGCCAACAGGGTCATCAACGGCGTCCTGAGAGCGATCTGGATCAACATGGAGGAGCACATGGGCGAGAAGGTGTCGACCGACAGCATCCTGATCGCCTGGGGGGTCAGGCACGCGGCATGGAGCTTGACGAGGTTCCAGGTGAAGAGCGACGGCCGAACCCCCTACGTGCGGATCTTCGGCAAGGCCTACGGCGGGGAGGTGCTTCCCTTCGGCGAGCGCGTGATGTACAAGTACACGGCGGTGCCCAGCGGCAACCTGGACCAGAAGTGGGCGCACGGGGTGTGGGTCGGCAAGGCACCGCTGACGGACGAACACCTCGTCCTGACCGTGGACGGCGTGAAGAAAGCGAGATCGGTACATCGACTGCCAGTTGACGAGCGGTACGTAAAGGAGGAGCTGGCGAAGGTGAAGGGTCTGCCGTGGAACGGCACGGCATCGGATCTGAAGGCGCCGATCGTGTCGCAGCAGGACCAGGGGCCATCAGGGCACAGGAGGCTCTACCTGACGAGGGCGATCGTGCAGAAGTACGGGCCTACGCCTGGGTGCTCGGGCTGCGCGGGGCTGGGGCCACATACCGAGGTGTGTCGAGCGAGGCTGGAGAAGATGGTGGCAGACGCGGCGGCAGGGCCGAGAGGCATCGCAGTCGGCACGCCGCTGGCGGCGAGACCAGACCCAGGGCCGCCCGCAGGCGCTGCAGAACCATCGTCGGCAGCGAGCGGCGACGCTCCCAGGACACCAGCTGGGGGCGACGGCAGCGGAGGAGTCGCGGCCGAGAACATGGAGGTTGACAGAGCGGACGCTTCGACACAGAGAGGTAGGCCCGCGGCGGTGGCCTTTCCGCAGGAGGCCCCCGAGCGCCCGACGGCGAAGGTGAGGTCTCAACCCCCTGTGGCGATCCCAGCCGTGGGAGGCGCAGGCACGGTCGTCGTCAGCGAGAGCGAGGCGAGGTCCAGCACAGACGACGTGATGATCGGGGGCCTGCACGTGATCGATGGCGTGGACGTGGTGGCGATGCTCATCCCAGAGGAGGACGAGTGGAGGCTCGCGGCGATGGACGACGGCAACTTCGAGACCACCACCGACGACAGCCAGAGCGACATGATCGGCGAGGTGAACTACGAGGACCCCGCGTCGGCGGAAGGGATCGTGGCGTACGACTCGAGGACTGGCGAGCAGCTGGACAGCGAAGAGGTGCGCAAGGGGAGGTCCAAGGAGCTGCGCGACCTGGCGGAGTTCGAGGTGAAGATCGAGGTGGACGAGTCCGAGATGATCAGCAAGCCAGGGAAGAAGATCTGGTCGAAGTGGGTGGAGACGCGGAAGGACCCGAACAGCGCCGAGGTCAGGAGCAGGCTGGTCGCAACCGAGATCAACACAGGCGAGGTTAGGACGGACTGCTTCGCTGCGACGCCGCCGTTGAAGTTCGTGAGACTGATACTGGCGTGGGCGGCGAGTTACAGTCCCAGAAGGAACAGCGCGGGGGTCAAGATGATCCTGTTGCTGTTTGACATCTCTGTGGCGTTCTTCCACGGCCTGGTGCGGAAGGTCCTGTACGTGGTACCGCCGAAGGACCTGCGCAAGAAGGGCAAGGTGTGGAGGCTGCTTCGGAGCCTATATGGAACGAGGGACGCGAGCCAGGTGTTCCAGACGTACGTGGCGGACAACCTGAGCGAGCACGGCTTCGACAGGAACGCGGTGGTCCCGTGCTTGTACTGGAGTAGCGAGCTGGAGGCGCTGGGGGTTCACTGGGGCGATGACTTCATCTACGCCCTGCCGAACGACAGCGCCGACGACCTCGAGCAGCTGATGAGGGAAGTGTTCAAGGTGAAGATCTGCGAGCGCGTGGGGCCCAACTGCAAGTCCAGTGCGGCGTTTCTGCACAGGACGCTTTCATGGAGTTCGAAGGGTTTCACCTGGGCGCATGACCCGACTCACACCGTGGCGATGGCCAAGGCTTTCGGCTTCGACGGGCAGACACGCTTAGACCAGGAGAAGTGGGTCGTGACGGTCGCGCCGGGCTCCAAGACGGTGGGCAAGACTCGTGATGCTGCAGACCCCCTTGACGAAGAAGGAGCAGCACTATACCGAGCACTCGTGGGGACGGCGCTCTATGTCGGCCAAGACCGTCCCGAGGCGCAGTACGCGACAAAGGAAGTCGCTCGCCAC